TAACTTAAAAATCAGACTAAGAGATACATTTATAATACGGCTTTGCTGAAACACTGAAAGAAAGTGCACTGACTGCATAGAGAGCTTAAATTTCTCACTCTTCTTTTCAATCAATATCTGAGGCAAAGTTTCATCTCTAGGGCCCTTAATGGCAGGAATTCCTGGAGCCAGCAAATGAGTAATGTTAAACCTATGATTAGATGATGAGGCCATCAAAGACACTAGATCCTAATGCTACATTCCTCTTTATTTCTCTGAACTGCAGTGAAACCCAGGGCCAAGGAAGACGGAATTCTAAACTATTTCTTTCTTTAGAGGCGTGTTTTAAGGATATGCATCATAATAAACCTAAGAAGTCCAGAGAGATCTCTCAGAATGTCTCCTGAACTCAGAACTTCAGCATTCAGTGACAAAAATGTCACATGCCCTGCAGACGAACTCCTGCCAGGGATGTTGTTTTAACTTCTTCCTTATCAATATTGTTGTTGGCTAAAAAGGGGGAAATGGATCTAATGATTTCCCTACCTCTATATTCATCTTATCTATAACTATGTACCTCAATCTTAGGCTTATTACATTTAGAAGAAACAAAGTAAATCTTTTTCCTTTGTACTATCTGGCTAAATTATATCAAACTGGAGAACAAAATGAAAACTTTAAATGTTCAAATGCTAAATCATTTGAAAGAGGGATTGTTCTTCAGTTGTGGTTCTTTTGTAAGTACTGTCTTTAGAAGTCCTGGGTTATGCCTTGATCACATAAGTTAAGTCGCCAAAATTCTTTTTATTTAAGTATATGAAGTATTTAGAAAAGAATAAAGTCAAAGCCACAAAATAATTCATGTAAGTAACATCATACACAGATCCAAACTAAGAGACTTAGAAACCTATTTATGTTACTTTACATTTTTAGGTTTCTAATGAGAATAAAAATGATTTATTAAGCATGCATTTGCTTAATCAGTGTTTCAAGTCAGAAAGCACTTAAATATTGACAGACATTATTTTATATATAAAGTTTCTTAATATATAAAACGTTTTATATTGACAGATAAGGCACAGGAGAATGCAAGTGACATCTGCTAAGCTTTACTTATGAAAACTTAAATCCTAAGGGATAACATCACTCGATTTTTTCTGAAGTACCTCTCATGGAGACCTCCTTAAAAAAATCTGGAAATAATTACAAACTATTATAGTACCTAAAAAAGTTTACTTGAAAACTAAATCTGTTATTCATCAAAGAATACAATGCACTCAGAATAATGTAATGGAAAAATAAGTACATATAAAGAATAATGTAAATCAAATCAAATTGTAAAACTTTTAAAAAGCTATGAAAGAAGATAGTATCAGACCTGTGATAAACTGAATAATGTGTAGGAAACATTATACCTCACTGATTAAGCACTGATTTTTGTCCAATATAATACATAGTATTTTACTTCATATTATTTCTAAGTGATAGCAAATTTTTTAAAAAGAGTCTATTAACTGCAACTATAATATATACTAAAGATAAAGAAGAATAAATAGCTCATTCTTAAACTTTATTTTTTGTGTCATAAAATCTATATGAAAAAATATTTCTCCAGAAGGGAGTGAAATGTTTTAGGTATCTGCATAACAACAAATACATCATAATGATAATTCTAATAGCTTCTCCATGAAACTTAAAATATGTTTTTAAAGAGATATAAAATTCCATTTGGGGGTAGACTGGATGGCATGTCCCTTAGAGTTTAAAAGGCTGTCCATATGATCTGAATTATCCTTGACAAGTACCTTCAGACACTGTAATATGATCCCATGTAAATTTAGACCACATTTTGGACACAAACTATTGGCAATAGTAAATGTATTCAGGAGTTTGGATAAGAAGGGAAGAAAAGTTAATATCTTTAATAGAATGTAGTAGTTAACATGAAATTTCTGAAATGAAAATAGCATAAAAATAAAAGCATTAAATGTATTGCAGCAAAGCAAAACAAAATGCAACAAAAATGGTGCATTTTCCTTTCCTTTTCAATCCTTAGCTGCCTATTCTCTCCACCAAAATTTTCTCTCTCAATGTTTTATTAAATTTGGGATGGAGCACATTTTAGGTAAATAAATAAAAATTCTATTTGCATTGAAAATTTATTTTAACACAGAAATAAATCTAAGAGTGGATGATATCTTAGTTGTATTTTTCACTGTGGGAAAAAAATGTACATAGTGCATAAAAATACTTGATTTTCAACTTTTCTTTTTTTAGGTTTTTTGCCACAGGCATATGCAGAGCAACATAGACAGACAAAGAGACAGACAGAGAAAGGAAAAGTGAGAAATAAACCTCTGGGGGGGTCATGTCACAATCCTTCCCCCTCCATCCTCCACTCAGGATTTTGGGCACGCACACAGACGTGTGCAGTGTGATTTTCAAGTCACTGGGTCTGAGACTTGTCCAATAGTCAGCCACATAGGATTTGCAGTGCCTTAATCATCACATGGCTTGCTGACCCTCAATTTTCAACTTATTTTTTTACCCCAGGTTTTTGCTATAGGGCACATGCACTTGCTGAGAGAGAAGTGAATGCAGAAGTAAGAAATCACTCCCCAGGGGGATGGCCATACCACATTCCCGTCTCTTCCACTATCCTCTCAGGATTTGAGCCAAAAAGCTCACATTCCCAGCATGATTTCTCAAGCTGCCAGGTCCTGAACTTGAACCACAGTCCACCGTGTCCAAGTCCAACACCTTAACCACCTTGCCATCTGCTAGCCCTTAACTATTTTTTTAGTACTATAACTGCTCATCACAATAACAGGAAACTATCATTACAAAGGGCTGTACAGAAAATTAAACAGAAAGAACTCAGAACTCTGCAGTTTTAAATATTCATTAGGACTGCCTTCCGTCTTGGCCCAAAGAACTGTGCTAATTCTACTGGGATCAGCTCCACTGTAGAAGAGTGCATTAGGCTTGTAGAAGAGAACTGGGTTTTGGAGAGAGCTATGCCCAACAATCTCCACAGCATCATTAATTGTACTTTTTTCTCTTTCTCAGAGGTCTGCTACTGCTATGGTTGAAATTGGAATATAAATCATCATGAATCTGAATGTTAAAGGAAAAAGGCACGTTATTTTAAGTCACATTAAAGACATATCCATTTTATGTGTGTCCTTAAAACTAAGGTAGGAAATATGCATGGAGCAATGATCTACAATACTGATTTTATAAGCTTAATTTCACAGAATGGTAAACTCTCGCTATGTGAATTAGACAGAAGTAGGATTATGCATTTATTTATTTAAAAATACTTTGTGGAAAGCAACATTTTAGTCTAACATAACATAAGTGGAGCTATTTTTATAAACACACATTTTTAAGAAACGTAAATGAGGTACACTCAGTCAACTGAACACCTGAAATATTTAAATACTTCAGTGTGTTAAACACTCAATTACAAAATTTTAACTTAAAAATCAGACTAAGAGATACATTTATAATACGGCTTTGCTGAAACACTGAAAGAAAGTGCACTGACTGCATAGAGAGCTTAAATTTCTCACTCTTCTTTTCAATCAATATCTGAGGCAAAGTTTCATCTCTAGGGCCCTTAATGGCAGGAATTCCTGGAGCCAGCAAATGAGTAATGTTAAACCTATGATTAGATGATGAGGCCATCAAAGACACTAGATCCTAATGCTACATTCCTCTTTATTTCTCTGAACTGCAGTGAAACCCAGGGCCAAGGAAGACGGAATTCTAAACTATTTCTTTCTTTAGAGGCGTGTTTTAAGGATATGCATCATAATAAACCTAAGAAGTCCAGAGAGATCTCTCAGAATGTCTCCTGAACTCAGAACTTCAGCATTCAGTGACAAAAATGTCACATGCCCTGCAGACGAACTCCTGCCAGGGATGTTGTTTTAACTTCTTCCTTATCAATATTGTTGTTGGCTAAAAAGGGGGAAATGGATCTAATGATTTCCC